TAAAGATGTTTTCTATGATTTTTTTGTGTTTGAAGGATATGCATGTCACAAACACTTTAAAGCTGACTTCATATTTTCTTTTCAGTTTGACTGAAATAAAAGTGTTTTAACACCAACAAGTTGACTCTGAAAGAGCTATTAGCTGAAAGTTTGGCATAAAGTAGATACATAATGTGTAAATTAGGGGTGGATTAAAACATTTGTACTGTATGTGAACTGTATTGTCAGTTGTAACTTCTGTTGTTGAAATCAAAAATACTTCTATAAATACTGGTAGAAATATTTATATTTATGTTTACCAGTGAGTGAATTTTTTTATGTTGTGTAAATTTCCACGAGTACTTGTTGAGCCATTTACTGAAACCTACAACAGTTTTAAATTTCACTCAAATTAAAAAAAGATGAGCACATGGTTTGGTGTGAGTGTCCACAAACCACAAGCTGTTTTGCATTCATTCATGCTTCCCTCTATGACTTAAAAAAAGTGAAGTATTTCTTATTTGGCATTAATCATGGCATGATAATTGTCCATCACAGCCAGATGGGCAAACTAGAATAGCGACCAAATGCACACAACAACTTGTCTCATTTAAATGACATGGCTTGCACGCCTGTGCACTAAAGCTGTCAAAAACGTGCTCATTACAATGAATTAAGAGAGGCCTGTGCATAAATGTTGAGCCTACCATTCAATTTTTGGTGGTAAAGAGAATCTGAAGCTTGAGGGGTGTGTGTGTCTGGTATGGTGGGGGTGGTCACAGCAATCATCTGGAGATATGTGTGGCCCTGTCCCTTGGAAAGAAAGAAAGAAAGTAAAGAGGGGTGATTGACGACTGTGAAAGCAAGAAAAGAGATGGCTGAGTGGTTGTGAAATGTGTGGAACATTTGTTTGAAGGTGATAAAACTGATTTTAGATGGACCTGTCCATTGTTCAGTCCTGCTCTGTCTCTCTTCTGGCAGGCAGAAATGGAACAATAACTGAAAACTTGCATGAAAACAAGGAGGTTTGGGCCTCAGAGACGCAGTGACCCTGCAACATGTCTGATTACAGATGTCTGAAACATTTGGCTACAGTCTTTCAAAATACTCAAACCTTCGTATTCATCAAGATCCGGTGATAGAAATGCCACATGTAAAACGAAGAAACGGTGGAAAAGGTGTGTGATTTAAAGTGCGACCAAAGGCTGTTAAGGGATTTAGCCGCTCAGCCTGTCTTATCTCCAGCTCGTCCCTGACTGAGCGCCGCTTTCAGGGAAAAGCACGGGATGGACTTTCAGGGCCGCTCTCAGAGCTCAGCTTTTGCAGGTTTAATTGAATAAAGGCTTACAATCAGAAATTTAAAAGCTGTTTCAGTTCATCAAAAGGTCAGCACTTCAGGTTTGCTGTACTCCAGATTACAGTTTGTTAAGTTGTGTTTTGACAGGCCGAAACTTTAACGTCCAGCGCAGGCCTCAGGAGGCTGATTGATTAATGAGATAAAATGCGTCTGGGAAGACAACGGCTTTACCCAGAGACATGCAAAACCAAACAAATCACGCAATACATCTATAGGACATATATTTATACAAACCAAGACTTTATGAAGCATTTTTACTTTTATTAGTCAGCAGTGAGGATGCGGGTGGAAAATGTGAGGTGAAGAAGAGGGCAGAGTGTACAATTCAGCCCTCGAGCTGGAGTCAAAGTGGGGACTTTTTGAGTCTGTGGTGGCTCTTTAATTATCTAAGATACAGTTTGCATGCACTGTTAGTCACATTTCAACCATTTGATTTGTCGTCAGTCATATTTGTTCATTGCTGTGTCCTGGCTTTGAATTGGACATCCTTTCACTGGGTTGTAAAAGCTGCTAGGATGCTCCAAAACAGCACGTCATCAAAAATGCATTTGCTTCTTGGGCTTCTATCGTTTATTTATGCAGCATGAGTTAATGTCAACATCCGAACGACTTTACACTGGAGTTGCAATGGCTTTAGTTTTTCGGAACAACAATCCTCTCTGAAAAACTGGAAAAGCTTTCGGGTATGATGGTAAAAACAGATGCAAGTGCGATTGTACATGACAAAAACAGATTTTGCCCCCACTGGATTTATAATGGTTACAATTTCATATTTCTTTTAAAAGGCATCTAATAAAAAGTATACCCTCATCTAAAGTAAAGATTTAAGTGCTCTACTAATATAATTTAATCACATTAAGCTGCAAAAGCCTGGGACCGGTGGTGTTAAACAACACTCGCAGCCATGATGTTTCAAATCTGTCTAAATTCTTACAAAAACAAATCCACCTGTGCAAAAGACCTGACCAGTGGCAAAACACATCATTACGTGCTTCCGCTGTTTGAAGAAGCTATTTCTGACCATGAATTGAAATGCTCACATCCTTGATAGAAGCTATCTATATTCATCCACACCTCTGCCAATACCTCTAAGGTTATCATCAGTTCATCAAGAGAACATGGAAGTGAGAGACAATACCTTCCTCGACTTCACCAGGCTCTTGGGGTAGATCACATCATTTCAATGACACACCAGTAAAGCCGTGAACTCTCATAGTTTAAAAAAAGGAAGGGACCCTGTGTGCTTTACGGGATTGTCAGCTGCCTTTGTGATCAAAACAAATATAAATAGGTCTCGGCCCGTTGAGTGTTTGTCTCGAGTAGATTAGCTTTGTGTCAAACACAGAGTGATAGTGAAAGAATTAGTTTCACTCAAATCGATCTGCGGTCTTTCTCAGCACCACTGGATTAAGGAGGAACAATCTGAATGTGAGGTTTGGTGAACGTAGTTAATCCAGATGAGCTAGAGTTTGTGTCTACAAAAAGGTGGGTACAAACCAGAAATTATAGGGGTAGTTCAGAGTGACAGGGCAGAGTCCAAGTAATTCTATGTAGTACATTTCATCCTTTTATGGTGTCTATTTCTGTTCTTATTTTTTGGTGTCATCGTGACACTCAGGGTTTGGTTTTCATGACTCGTGACCTGTCCAAGGTGTACCAGCTGTTTCTTGCACAATGGGACGGGCACCAGCTCCCCCATGACCCCAAAAAAAGGTAAAAGTGGGTAAAGAAATGGATGGATGGATGAATGTCTATTATTATCCTCTGTCGTTTTTCTTTCAGCTCCTTGGTTGTACTAAGTGTATACTCCTTGTTCTGATCCAGACTTTCTTTTTTTCTCCCGCCCATTAAACAGGTTTTTGGCTGAGCCTGCCTGCATCTGCTGTGGACTTCCTGCATTTCGGATTCAATTTTTCCCTCACCTCGTGAGGGGTACATTAACTTTTAGTGCTTTGTACTTTTGCAGGAAAATAAAATATTATACTTCAATATGTTTATTACAGGATAAAAGGCATTTAAATCAACTCCAGCTCAACCACTGATGACTTTAAAGAATTCAAATGTCAACACTTGAAAAAAATACTGCTGATAGAAGAGCTGAAATTCTAATGTCAGTTTTTAAAGGGCATGTTGTTGCTTTTTGGAATATAGGCCGAAGTGCTAAATTATGAATCCATCCATTATCCTAACCCGCATCTTCCTTTCAGGGTCACTGGTGCCCATTTCGGTCACAGTGTGAGGGAGACACCCAAGTCCATATGACAACCATTCACTCACACCTGAGGATAATTTAGAGTTACAAATTGCCTAACATGCATGTTTTTGGTCTGTGGGAAGAATACTCTGAGAAAACCTACATGCAAAGAGAGAACACAGACAGGTCCCTGGCCAGGATTCGATCTGACAACCTTCTTACTAAAAGCTTTACCAACTGAACCACTGTGCCTACATACTTTCACTTTTATACCTTAAGTCGTTTAAATCCAATACTTTTACTTGATTAAAAAAACTTTATTAATTATAATTCCGCTTCCAAAACAGTATTTTAAAGCATAGCATCCCTTCTACTTAAGTAATGAATGAAAATACTTTTGAAAACATCTTATCCTCCATGAATTTGAAGAATATATACACCTGAGCAGTGGTGGGCAGCACTAATCTAAAAATCAGTTCCACTAGCCTTGAAACACTAACTCAAATATTTAGGTCCCCCTAATTCTAAAGCACTAATTAGCTGAATATTTAGCAAAAGCTAATTCTAAAGCACTAAAATAACCCTGTCAACCCATGGAACATTCTTCAACAGACAACGTGAGTCACATATTGCCATGTTGCTCTCACCTTATCATCGATATCCCACAGCCATATTTGAGAGCATATATATTAATATATTGTGACCTAGCGGACAAGTGACACACATACAAACAAAATATGTGACAGCTTTCACCCTCAGCTGTTAAAAATAATGTTGATCAATAAAGACCTCAGTTAGTGCTTTTAAATTTAGCCTATAAATTTAGCAAGTGCTAATCCACTAATATATTTTAAAATTAGCAAAAGCCCCAAAGCACAAATCACAAAATTAGTCCCCTATTATTAACCTAGTGCTTTAGTGCTTTAAGGCAGGGGTTCTTAAACGTTTTAGGTCTGGGGACCCCTTACAAGGGCGAAAAAAATCCAGGGACCCCCTCATAAACCCCATGCTGTTTTAAAATATAATTTACTGTCATTTAAACCCCTAAATGCCATGGGAATAWATATTTTTATTAAGTTTATTATGTTTGTTTTATTAGTTCATTGTTCWMCATGCATTTTTAAAAATAAAAACCAAATTAACAATTTAGTGAATTTTTTTTGAGGACCCCCAATATACCTCTCACGGACCCCTGGGGATCCTTGGACCCCAGTTTGAGAACCTCTGCTTTGGGGGAACTGTACCCACCACTGCACCTGAGCTAATTTTACTTCTAAATCTGCAGTATTTTTGACAGTTTTACTATATCATGTTTTTTTATTTTTTTTTTATTTTTTTTAATTAAGCTATCGTATCACAGCTAAACGTCACCATTCAACCAGTGTATTTCCACACACACGGACACACAAGCCTCCTGCAGCTCCTCTCTCCATGAGCACGTCCGCTCCGTCTGGCCTGTTGACACGAGCCGCCGGTAGGTGTCGCTGTGCGCGTGCATAGAGCCCGAGAGCGCCCGGTGGTGAGCTCGGTCCGGTCGGGACCCCCAGCTCTGCCCGAAGTGCCAGATTGTGTGTCTGTGTTAACACGTGAGAAGTTGTGAGTGTGGAAGAGGCTGAAAGAAGAAGAAACCGGGGAAAAAGGAGGACCGAGTGAGGAGGAGGGAGGCTGGGAGGGCGGCGGGACGTGCGAGCACTCGGAGCGGGACTCGGAGGAAGCTGCGGAGCTCCCAGGAGGGAACGCCGAAAAGGAGACGAGACGCGCGGCGAGAGCTCCAGACATGAGTCCGAGGTGAGAGAGGGGGGCAGGGATGGCATCCGGACAGAAACCTGAAGCTCATCAGGACCGAAGGATGACTTTATCTCAATTTATTTCAAACAGACAAATGAAGCCTGAGTTTAGACTTATTATATAATTTTACTAAACTTAGGATAATATCCGCATATATATTTTGTAATAAGAACCCAAGACACAGCAAGTCGTAAAAATAACGCATCATCACAAAATAGAGAAGCCCAAGATTATGATGGTTAGAAGAAGGAAATATATAAAAATTTATAAGTGTACATGCGTGCAGCTCAAGTGCCAACAAGGAGCTCTGCGTTGTCACAAACATTTACCTTTATATATTATTAAACTATAATATTTTATTTAAATCTGTTTTTAATTTTTAAAGGCCCAACATTGGTTTGTTTACAAAAGATTCAGCCCAGACTCCATCCCTGTGATTAGTGGATTTTAAAACAACAGCAGGTGTTTTTACTTGTTTTTAAACTAAACTGTTTAATAAAACCCACATTTTTTTAGGTTAAATATTTTTAAGACTCAGATTTTTAGGTATTTTTTTCAACAGGGAAGTCTTAGAATATTTTCTCCCCCTGATGGGTTTGTAAGCTTCATATAAGAGATCATGTGGCTTTATTATGTTTACATGACAAAATTGAATTAATTTAGAGGGAAGGGAAAAAAAATCCTCGAAAGCATTTGACATCAAATTGCCTTTTTGACCTCTCGGGGCAATCTGTGTGTCCAAACCTTGTACCTGGTGTAAATATACAGCCTGTCTCTTTAAGACTATGTGTTCGAGAAGTTCACGTCGGGGTCATTTCAAGTTCCTGCCCTCGAGTTTACCTTTGAGTTTTTCTCCTAGGCTGACATCACGCGGGGTGCTAAAACACTTAAGGGCGCGTAGAGGCTCCATTATCGTCTCGTTACTGAGCAGGACTCCAAAATAGCTATAAGGAAATTACGAAAGAGAGAGAGAGAAAAGGAGGAAAATGATGCTGGTTTAAACACGTCTCTCTCTCTCTCTCTCTCTGGAGGAGATGAAGTGGAGAGGAGGGGCGGAGAGGGAGGGAGGAAAGTGGGTGGGAGGACGGACCCAAGGAGCGAGAAGAAACTCATATCAATTAATAATCAGGAGGAAAGAGGGGGAAAAAAAGAGTTGGCAGACGCGCTCGGAAAACTGGCATGGGTTTTTTGGAGGCTGGCAGTTTAAGGCTGAACGTCAGATATGAGTGTTAGATGCTGCTGAGATGATCATTAAGGGAGACTTAGAGCGGATGGCAGAAGACATCGGGCATGCAGGTAAGATACAAGAGCGGAAGGATGACATTCAGACATTTTTAGTCAAACATTTGCAGAAAGGACCTTTAGTTTGTTTCCGCTTTACGTCCTGCGCTTCTTTGAACGCCGTGCGTAATTTTTAGTTTTTCAAAGCTCCACTCGTCATTGTCTGTTTCTGACTTTCATTTCGAGTCAAACATGTCCCCGTATTATTAGTTGTTTTTGCTATTTAAATTCAGCCTTAAGCACTTCATTTGTCACTTTATGTTTTTAAGTTCTTACTGGTTAAATTCGGATTTATTTTAGGTGCGTAAAAAAATCATGACATTTATCTTAATCTGTTGCAAATAAAAAGTTTTATTCTGTTTTCTTAGAATCATCTTTTAAATTAAAGCTTTTCTTGCATCAGCTGAATTAAATAAAGGACTACAGCTAAATAATTCTGTTTCAGGTAATGGAAGTTTGGATTTTACGCACTTGGAGACGTCTGTGAAATTTAGTTTTGCGCAAAAAGAGTTGGAAACAAAAGAGACGCTTCTCGCTGCTGCTGACAAGTTTGAGACAAGAATAGAAATGGTAGAAATAACATCTGTTTGCTTCATGTTCATATGAGTTAAAAAACAGAGTTTCTGGATTTTTTTCCCCTCCTCTGGAGATAAGAGGCGCAGCGGCGGGTCAGACACATGGATTCATTCGGTTTATGTGCACCAATAAGCCGGATCAGAGGACTGGGAGGACGGATCCTTGTCACTTCTCTGTTTGGGAATGCGTGCCCTGAACCTCTCATCTAAGACTCAAACCATTTAAATATAATATGGTGGGAAAAAATACAAAAACATTCGTTTTTTAAAAAATGAAAAATTTGCATAGAATTGATTTAGAAATGTTGTCACTCAAAAAATTAGACTAACAAAAAGGAACCAATTTGCTTTAAACCCAACACATTACTATTTTAATTATGTGATTATTAAAACACAGCAAAAATAAATAATCTGCCTAAACTTTTTACTTAGTTTTAAGATATTTATTATATTTATAATTTATTAAATGCAGTTAATCAGGTAAATTAGCAGATCTGACTGAAACTTCCAAATCATCTTCATTAGTGCACTGATTCCAAAGTAAAAGGGGGAGCTATTAGGGTGTTAGTCTAATTGTAAAGAAAAAAAATCGTCCTAATTTGCCACTTAGATTAAAACAAAGGCAAATAGTTTTTTTAAATATAAACCTCACTGAATGAATCCAGACAGCAAGTTCAAATGAAAGAAAATGAAATGTCAACACAGCATTCTGAGCAGATGTCAGAAGTGTTTATGTGGCTGAGGCTGTTCGGAGGGGTCGGAAGTTTAATGCTTTGCTTCACTCCAAACCACAAAATGACAAAACAGGGAGAAAAAAAAATCACAAAAAAAGCCCTCGAAACACTCAGCAGTCATGAATATTAATCAATTGCAAATAACTAAAAACATTCGCTGTAAACTACTTCAACATCATCAGCATGCTGACAGGTCATTAAAAAGAAAGCTGTCAAATGAAAACAGCAGTGCTTCCCACAGGGAATCTGCCCCTTTTTTTGTAAGAGACAAAACCACATGTGCAAGCTTGATACATATCTTTTAGTTTACATGAAAAAAATGCATATCACATATATAAATGAGAATTTGCTGCAGGTCTGTTTTGAGTTGTGCTAAGACTAAAAATCGTTGCAGTCACAGGATGCAGTGAGAGTACAGATGCTTTCTAGATAACGCCTTTTATGATGCAAGTTTGTCTTATTTTGATTACAAGATTACACAAAGCATTACACTCTGTCACCCCTAAACGCCAAAACGGAATCCTTCAGTATTTTTAGAGTTGCTTTTGGTTAAAGATAATTCATATCACAAAACAAAGTCTAATATTAATTACGTCATGTTTTTAAGTTCATAGAAAGCTGTCTTTTTTAAATGTGCATGGATTAAATAGCTTCTCGTAAATGCAATTCCCCATATAAAGATGGCTCATTTCTCGTCTTGTTATGCAGTAGAAGTGATATGCTTGATGCAGCCGATACACTGATTTTTATCTGCGAGGATGCAGCGTGTCACCACGTACCACACAGCAACTGCTTAGCTGAGCTCAGAAGTTCACCAAGTATGGAGACTTTTATCTTGTTTGAAACACACATGATTTGAAGGATGTAGAAATGTCTTGTAAAATATGAGCTTTAGGAAGAACGGAGGTGAGAACACTATGACAGCTTGGGACACGGAAGGCTGTAACTTCCCACAAATTCCCTTTGATGTATTTTAATATTTATGATCATGTGGCGAATGAATTAGACATAAATCACAGATGTGGTCAAAACTGCAATAAAATAAAAATAATCAGTTTTTAAAATTGTGTTGAAAATTATTGTTATGGTTTTAATGCTTTACTGTTCCATTAAAAAACTAGATGTCATTGTGACTTTTCATTTTCTATCGATGACATTTTAATCCAAGTCTGATGCTGAAAGTGCATTTGTAAAAAGAAAAATACATTTGAAACTTCACTGAAGCTTTACAGAGAAGTCCCCCTGAGTTATAAAATTAGCAACTGTTCAACACTGTGAGAAAAAAAAAAATTTGGGTGAACAATTCATCTGCGTTCCTTGTTAGTTGTTCACTTCTCAGTTTTTTTTTCTTAATTTAAAATTCATACTTCCTTATTCTGATGCTGAGCTCTCACTCCGAGCGAAATAAACAAGAAGTGAATGAGCTCGTGTCAGGAAGACTGATCAGACAGATGACATGATATTTATTTAGTTGCTTGTTTCCCATCAGTGATACTAAGCCCCCAGAGACAGCTTGAGACGTTTAATCTCATAAGTAAACTATCCTCAAATGCCACTGCTTGAACAATACAAGGGGTTTCATGCATGCAGCCGATGTAGTTTATTTTAGGCTTGATGGAACAATTAATGTTGATGTTTGAGTGTGTTTGTCTCTGCGTGTGTGCACGCACATTTGATCCCTGGAGCCAATCTCAGCATAAAGTATTGAACCGTCTAATGCTGATTTATGTCCCTTGCGCTCACTGTTCCTTATATGACTGAGGCGAAAGGCGAGCTGTAGCCCTATCTTTTTTTGGATGTGTCCTTCCTCCACAGGTTTATACCTGCTGTTCATCACACTTGTGAAACATTAATCCCTTGCTTTGTTTAAAGCTCCCCGCTGCACTCCTGGAATACTTTACCAGGAAGCCAGACAATTACAAAATATGTATCTGTGGTTTGGAAGCTTCAACGCTTTCTCTTATTTTGCTCGCTGCAGAGGAAGTCGATGCAAAGAGTTGAATTTCTGATGATGAGAAAACCATTGCAAACACTCAACTTTACAAGTTCAGTTTCTGAATGGCCTTCACATGCATTTCCCACCCACCACTCCTACAATTTGCTCAGGTAGTTTGTGAGAAAGACTTCTGCTTACATTTTAAATATTTAATTAAAAAATCCTAAATTAATCAAACAACAAAATAGAATGTTAAAACCATAATTGAAACTTTGAATTAAAATGCATTTATGTTACTTTTTCCACAGCAACAAAAATAACTTGTAAACTGAAGAATGATTTAAAAATTCACATGTAAAATCTTTATTTTTTTAAACTTATCATTTTATTATTATTACTCATTTAAAATGTCCAGTATGTAAAATTTAAGGTTTATTATTTTTACTAAAAGGCATCAGTGGTTTGTTTCGGTGGTGCAGAAAATTAAAGTGAATTCTTCAGATTTGAACTGCTACAGTAACTACCCGCACAGCATTTCACAGATATTTGTTGTTGCAGGTGGTGGACTGAAGACAATGCTGAATGCCATGGAAGTTCCAAGTCATGCTAGGGATCTCCTCCTGCAGCTCAACAGCCAGCGCACCAAAGGCTTCCTGTGTGACGTTATCATTGTGGTGCAGAACGCCCTCTTCAGAGCTCACAAGAACATTCTGGCTGCCAGCAGCCACTACTTGAAGTCCTTGGTGGTCCATGACAATCTCATCAACCTCGACCACGAGATGGTGAGTCCAGGTGTCTTCAGGGTCATTCTGGACTACATCTACACGGGGCGCCTTAGTGAGGGAGACCCCACCTCTCCCGCTGAACCAAATCTAGGCGCTGTCTTAGCAGCAGCCAGCTACCTTCAGCTGCTCGACTTAGTGGCTTTGTGCAAAAAGAAGCTACGAAGAAATGGAAAGTACCCTCTTCGTCAAGGTCCGGCTTTTCTACCCTACTCCAAGATGGGCCCCGGCAGTATGGGGTTGGGAAATGGAGGCAGGTATAGGGTTTCTACTCCTGTAATTCAGTCCTGTCCTCCAGGAGGAATCCTGAATGCACCCAGGGCATCATCGTTAGAAGACCTGGTTCCCCATCGAATAGCCATACACAGTGGGGAGTTGTATGCACCCACTTCCAACCAGAGCCCTCAGATGTTCCCGTCTCTGCCTGCCCAACTGGGACGCTCAGCCCACCCTGAGAGGAACTGCTCCCCCAGCTTTGGCCTAGATCTTTCTAAGAAAAGCCCCACCTCCCAGTCTCAGCTCCCACCCTCTCAAACCCATCTGGTAAACAGTCACAGCAGCGAGGAGCGAGACGGGACTCTGAGCGGACGCACAAGTCCCATTGTGGGTACAAATGGAAGAGCCTTTCCATCAGAAAAAATGGACTCTACCGACCAAGCAAGTTCCCTCACTCCTCCACCATTCCCCCATCTAAACCAGTCTTTGGGCCCCCACCTCCCTCATCTGCATCGCTCAGGTTCCCAGGGGACAGACCGCTACCCGTGCCCCACCAGCCCTGATACCCCTACAGAAGGTGGAGAAGTGGGCAGAGAAATAGGTAACATTTACCGCTGGGTGAAACACGAGCCTCTGACGTACACCGCTGAAGATGAAGATGAGGATGAAGAGGAAGAGGAAATAGGTGACAATGGGGAGCAGCATCATAACCATCACAAGCCAGGAGAGGAGAGTGAAGGAGTGGATGACAAGAGCGGGTCAGGCACAGAGGAGACCGGCAGCAGTGAGGGGCGGCCATCTCCTACAGGGCCGATGGGAAGGTTCCACATGCCGTACGAGCCAGAGAGCTTCGGGGACAATCTGTATGTCTGCATTCCCTGTGATAAAGGCTTTCCAAGCTCAGAGCAGCTCAATGCACACGTGGAGACACACACAGAAGAGGAGCTGTACGTCAACTCCAGTGGGGAAATGGGAAACGGCAATAGCAGCAGCACCAAAAACATGAGCAACGCCACAAACGGTTATGGAAGCCTCAACAGCAACAGCACTCTGAACCGTCTCTCACCTCTAGAGACCAAGCCTGATCAGGGACTGAATTCAGGGGGCCTTGGGGAGATGATAAGACCGTATCGCTGTTCCAGCTGTGAAAAGTCCTACAAAGATCCAGCCACTTTGAGGCAACACGAGAAGACCCACTGGCTAACGCGGCCTTACCCCTGCACCATTTGTGGCAAGAAGTTCACACAGCGTGGCACCATGACGCGCCACATGCGCAGCCACCTCGGCCTTAAACCCTTCGCCTGTGACTCCTGCGGCATGCGCTTCACCCGCCAGTACCGCCTCACTGAGCATATGCGCATCCACTCCGGGGAAAAGCCATATGAATGTCAGGTGTGCGGTGGGAAGTTTGCCCAGCAGCGCAACCTGATCAGCCACATGAAGATGCACAGTGGCGGAGGAACGGCCGGGGGTCTGAGCGCAGATGGGAAACTGAAGTTGGACTTTGCAGAAGGCATCTATCCCCTGAGCAAATACGCAGCAGAGCACCTGGGGCTTAAGCAGGAGAAGGCCAACGAGCTCATCATCCAAGCACAGCAGCAACTGGTGGCCGATGCTAAGGTCATAGAGAGCCTCTACCCTCTCTCCAAACTGGCCTCTGAGCACCTGGGCCTCACCCATGACAAGATGGATGTTCTGGGCCAACCACTGCCACCTCCCCCGCCTCCACAAACCCTCTCTGATGCACGAACCATTGACCGCTACTCACCCAGTTAAGACACGACAGTTGTAAATGGCAATCTCCAATAAGTTTGCATGCACACGCAGTTTGCAGTATTCTAAAGCCGTTCACCTCAACTCAGTATCTCTGCTGCACGTCAGACTCAGGCCATGTGGAACTGGTCTGCTAACACACGCCAAAAAAACTGTAGACTGTAAGTGCCTTTCTATGCATCTAATGTATCTCTACGTTCTCCTTCATAAAGGAGCTCTTCGCTTTTTCTACGTGACCAAGGAACACTTGTTTAAAAACCTGCAGTATTTATGTACAGTATGCAGAGAAGCATTTCTTTACTTCCAGCTATTGAGCCATAGAGACAAAAAAAAATTAAAGCCAAAATGGAACTGTTTTTATTTATTTTTGTATGATATAATCCAAAGAAAATGTGTTGCAAAGAAACATTGCAATCAGACCCTAAACCTGTGTACTATTCATCTTTGTATGAAAAAAAGGGGGAAAAGCACATACAGTATGAACAATATTCAGGGTTGTTTAGTCCTGATCAGAACTTATATATATATATTAAAAAAAACAACTCACCAGAATTTAAAAGTATTTTTTTTCCTAATTCCATGTTTATAGTTTTGCATTTTTGGGGTACTGGATGAATAGTTGATTATGTTTTTTTTTCTTTGCTCGACCCCTTCATGTGAAATGATTGATTTGAGAAATCACTCCTGTATTTTAAGTGTTTTATGGTTTAAAGTCCCCCACTTTGCTCTTTTTTTTGTGCAGATATCAGCATGTGACACCAGTAGTAACTTAATTTACTCTACACTTAGTTGACAAACATTTTGTTTTAGTTAAAACTTCCTTCAGTTGACAGTGGCAAGCAAAGCCTCGTGATCTGATAAGCGGGACACGATTGCACATCTGATGACACACTAACGGCTGCTCATGACGAGTGCAGCTTCGACTCATAGTTTAGGAGAAGTATGGGTGTTGTTTCTGACTTTGTTTTATTTACAATCATGGAAACAGCTCAGTAGAGAGGCAGAGACCAGGAAAAATGACACAAATGACAAATCAACCTGTCATTTAGTGTCAGGAGCCATTATTAGAAGTGTGATAAATCTTAGAGCAACAGTGGTCAAAAATCCAGCTTCCCTCATTGCTTGTAGTGTTTACAGATCAAAGTGGTGCATTCAGTATTTTTCCTCCACAGACTTGAATGGATGTTCACTCCACACGCTGCGAGCTGATAATCTCTCTGCATTATAAACATATTAAGGAGTTTGTGGGTTTTCCCATTTAAGCCAGTGGATGAACAGCACTCTCCAGCTGCTGTGCTTCAATAATCCCTGTGAAATCTCACTTTCTCCTGGACAATTCGCACTACTAGCTGGCGTGATGTCTCATTTCATGGCTGCCATCTCACTCCTCTGATCCACTTAGAAACATAATATCGCAGCCAGGGCGAACGTTTCTCTTGGCCTTGCCTCTCTACTCTGCTGGGATCAAATTACTTATTTTTTTTTCTGTGTTGGATGACCAGCAGTTCTTCCATCTTGAAAACAAAACAGAAAAAAAAGCACTTAAAGGTTGCAGGTTAATGGCACATTTTATTTTATTTTTTTGCCTGTAAGTTTGTATTCCAAATAACATGTTGGCCTTTTATTTTCTTCTTTTCCATAGGCTAGAAACGTTTGACCACTATTAGTGCCAACGCCAACCTCACTAGGTGAATGTGAAGACTAAAGCCATAAATACACTGTGACAGTAGTGAATCTGATAGGCTTTAAAAAAATCTAAAAAAAAAAAAAAACAATGTGCCTGACTTTTGGATTTCTTTTTTAAATGTAACAATTAAGGGCTTTGTTTCTGTAGCATATGATCATATCAAATATGTTGTATCCTGTGACTTTTTATTATTAACATTTTTGAAATCTGAAAGCAGCACACGTAAAACTGGTGCTTACCTCAGGACTGAACCCAGCATGGGTATGCTATGCTTTTTTGTAAATTTTTGCTCAAAAATATCCACACATGCACACAATCACATACACACTTTTTATTTGAATTTTGCTTTAACGGGGCACTTGTCCTGTAATAAACCTGTGGTTTTTCATGTGTTTAAACATTACTTTTCATTGTATGGGAGAGATGACATGTGATATTAACATATATTTTTTTGGTTTTGATTTTGATGAAATGGTATATATTTTTATTATGTCAAACCTCAAAGAGGCTTTTTGTCAGTTTGACCAAATTTATTCTTACACCATATCTTTTTTTTGGTTATGTTTGTGATTTTTGACCCTTAAAAATGACAGCATTGATGTTTGGTTTTAGCTACACATACAACAATATCTAGGTGACAAGTGTTGAATTGTGAAATATCTCCCCTCCTGCAAGACATAATGCATCATCAGCCCTTCCTTAAACAGACAAGCCTGCGAACTAGCCTCACATTGTTTTGGTCACTTTTCTCCAGAAGATAGTGAACCTTTGACATGAGCCAGACAGAGGTCGTATTCTTGCACAGAAGCACACAGGAAGTTGTCTTGTTTTGGTTGGTGTTTCAAGTTTTCGGACTCTGTTGTTTAGCTTTGTGACTTAGATGATATTAAGAAAAAAAAACTGCGTAAACGGAACACTGGTAGTACGAACGTAATCCATAAACAAAAGGCATGTGTCACAAAATGTAAGATCGAGCGGATGTGAGTCGTGGGAAATTTAGTCTTCTCTATCTTCCCTCATTCACTGGCTCAAATGAAAATGTGTCTATTCATTTTTTTTTGCTGGCCCCACTAAAAAAAAAAAAACACACCAAATGTTTCCACAGCCACTTCAAATCTGTGTTAGAGGAACAAGAAAGATAACTTGCTCTCCCCCCCCACCCCATTTCTGTGGGAGCCGCACCATTTGAAATGAGCTTTACCGCGTTCTGTATAGTAGTGGATCTGGTCGAGCATCTATAGAAAGAGGAAGTATTTACTTGTCTGTTTGTGTGTCACCATGCTATTTGAGTGTGTGAAGGGCTGTTAATGCATGTCCTGGGAATAGGTTTGGTGTGAAGGAGGAGAGCCGAGGAGCAGGAAGTGAACTTTTGGCTGATGTGTTGTGCTGAGCAGGATGTGCCGTGTGTTTTTGCTCAGAAGCAGATAGAGAGTTGGAGAACGGGGAGGGAGAGGAGCAGGGCGAGCGCAGCAGGGTGGACGTGAGCCATTGTCTCAGTATGAAAGCGTGTTCCTACTTCTAAAACCCACTTTTCGGTGAAAGAAAAGAAAAAAAACCCTATGCTGTATCTCCTCTTTTCCTTCCTCTCACTGCTCTTTGGGAATAAACATCAGCATCATAAAGATGGTGAACTTTACAAGGTGGACGATGAACCAGATGTGAGGATGTAAACATTTTTACATCCTATTTATATTAGAAACCTTACTCTAATGTTGCTTTCTTTTTTATTTGAGCTATCAAATTGCTCTGAAAGCCTAGTTCAAATCAGACATAAGCAGTTTTTATTTTGCTTCGTGATTTAATCAAATTAGAAAATTCTTGTGACAACTGACTAATATAACCTCATGAAATCTTGCACCAAATACTTATTTACATGTCATGTTAACCAAATCAACCTCCCTCTGATACTATGATAAAGTTGTTGGAAAAACAGAGGCATTTAGACCAGATTTATAAAACATTAATTTATTTTCCATCAGGAGCTTTGTGCTTAAGAAAATGATCAAACTATTATTTACAGTTTTGTCCCCAAAATACTGCAGCACTAAAAAGACATCACAGTTGTTAAAAGCTAATTTAGATGACTGTTTTGGTGGCTTTTACAAAGCAAATTGTTGAACTTCCTCTGACCAAATTCTATTGACTAAACATGTCATTTAATTGTTGAAAAGGTACCTTTTTTTGTCTAGTTTAATTGATTTGAACAGGACTTAAATTTAAACCAAAGCTGCAGCCAAAATGTTTCGATGAACATGTTTTAGTTTAAGTCTTAACTAATATAAAAGTGCCTTTGTGTGTAAATATGAATGCAAGAATTTGTATGATTATGTTTTGATGTATTAACTTTATGCACCTGTCCATCGCCGTCATGCCTGTCTAACATAAAGAAAAAGATATTTCACACTTTTAGGAGTCTTTATTACAAACAGCTGATTTATTTCCCCAAACTGCACTTTATTGGGAAAAAAAATCAAATTGCATATATTTTTCAAATTTTTTTTTACTCTTGTTAATCTATACGTTTTACACCCACTCTCCTTTTTGGCATTTTCTGTCCGTCCATCTCTTTTCTCCTCTTCCTCCATCCGGTGTGCAGCTTGGCCATGCTGCCCTTTCGCCTCCCAAAATCCCAGCTTCCCTCTTCACCTCTTCCTTGTGTCTTCTCTCTTCTTCCACTCAACGAGCCGCTGACCCACAGCGCGCGCTGCCTCCCTCCTCTCCCATGATCCACTTACTTCCAGCTGTTTTTCATGCTGAAGACGACAGTTGTCTAAATGTTTACTCGAGGAGCTACTTTCTTTTTCCTTAAGCCCCGATCAATTTCCAAAATGAACTTTGTGGCATATTTGAAGAAACTGCAGCTGATGGGGCCCCTCCAAAAAAAGAAAGAAAGAAAAAAAATCAGACACTGGTTTTGTATTTTCAAGCCAAGAAATTATGCATAAAGGGAAGATTAAAGGCAGCAAATTGTTGTAGAGGAAATGCAGAATAATGCGAGGGGAAATGTTCGGAAGAAAAAAATGCTAAGAAAATTGCCAGTAAAGTAAACACGTAAAAGTTGCACAACTGGTTGCACCAGCCAAGTCATGCGCCGAGATGGAGAGAACAAGTAAAGGAGGAGAGTTGAGAGGAAAAGAAGCTGAAATGGAGAGAAAAGGAGTTTGGGTCTGATAATCATAGCTGTCTACAAACAAAAACAAAGGGAATTTGTTTGTGTTGTGTGTTTGTTCACGTTTTTTACTCATCTGTGAGTTTACAGTAAAAAAAGCTGAGTGAAGATTTATTTTTTGTCTTTTTTCCTATTATTGCAGCCACAATTTTTTCCAGATTTTTGAACCATTTTAATAACTTCAGATATGCTTTTTTCAGACAGAACATTTATCACCTGATCAGCTCACAGTCTACTTTTATAGTTGAACATCGAAAAGGTTTCTGCCTGCATGTCCTCTTGCATCTGTTTAGATTGGATTTTAGTTTCTGTCTCTACATTCAACACATCCAAAACAAAGTGGATGCTGGTTGGGATCTTTGCTGAGCTTTTTTTTTTCTTCTAAGTGTACACTTTCTGTTCCAGAAGTTTAAAATTTAAAGAAAAACAAAGCGCACGGACACAACAAGCAGGAATTTGGAGGAGTTTATGTTTCGCACACACTCATGCAAACACACAGACACACACATGGATGGCAGACTGACTGCTGCTCCAGATTAGGTAAGATTTAATTAGGTTGCCCTGCTCCGTTTGGAGTGTCGCTCCTTGTTGAAAAAGTCATTTTTAAAGAAAAGGGCTGCAGCATTGACAGCTTCTGCTTGACACATACTGAAACCTGTGCCAAAACATTACAGAGCCTCAGGGTCCTCTTTTTACACAGACACAAACACACACACACAGTGTTTAGTTTGCTTTAATAAATGTTTCTGTGTTGATACGGGAGACATCAGGCTGATGAAGACTGCTTTTGAGGTGGTTGTATACGACAGTGGGTTAGGGGTGCAAAAGTTCAGCAGAAACTCAGACCGCCACGCAGACAGCAGGAGCTGCAAACAGTTGGAAAAATGCACAATTAAATACATGCATCACAAATTTACAATGGAAATGGGATTTTTCAACATGGTAGTCAGGATCTTATTTCAGCAGACTAAAAACAGACGGTCATGAAACAACATCAGATGCCAACATTTTCTTTTCCTTAGGCTTTACAACAGTTTGTACCATAAGGAAACAAATAAAAGCAACACTTTAAACCAAACAGTATTTTTTGTTCTTCTGTGTCAATATTGATTTTACTTTGCTTTCATGAAATGAATGTATTTATTGCATGTCAAAATGTTTTATAGCATTTTTCTGTAAATTTCATTTTTTTGATAAGAAAATCATTTATTGATGGTGTATTAATAAAACCGTGTGGAAATGGCTTTTATTTTTTTAAAAGCTAATGTGAAAAAATGTTTCTTTTCTTAATTTGCTACTATACTCAAAATCAACTTGGCAATAAAACAAATTGCATAATGGATTCAGAATCAAATGTCCTTTTTTTGTGTGTTTTTTGCACATTATTATTACTATTTACATATATCATTATTATTATTATTATTATTATTATTATTATTATTATTATTATTATTATTATTATTATTATTATTATGCATTGGTATAGTTGCATCAAATTCTTTTAAAGCTTGACTAGATTTATATTTTCTCAGTTGTTATCTATCTCGCTTTACAATGATTTAAATTTTTTTCGATATTCAGTCAGCTACTGCAACCATTTATGCTCTTGGTATATTTATTATGCATGAAATGGGTTTTCATTAAGAGAGAGAAAAATATGGGAGAAAAAGAGAACGATAAATACTGTTTGACCGTGACAATAACCACAGGAATGAGCAACTCCAGTTCATTTTCCTGCAATGCACTGCCCTTTGAGTTTATAACCTCCCGAGTCCTGTGAGTGCCTCATTTAGGACAAAGAATTTCAAATGAATCCCATACATCACACACAGTCCATATGCAACAATGAGCAAATCCATTACTTTGTCAGCAGGAGCAAAACCAGCCAGGCATGTACACACACATACACTTCCTTTCTCCCTGTGTGAAATTCACCTTATTATCACCGGCACATAAGAAATCATAGTGCCTTCCAGATGTTTGATATGAATCAAGCAACCGGTCACAAATCACGTCTCAACGTTAAACAAATTAGCATTTCTTCTTTCAGGTGCTGTTAATCATCGGAGGTGCTTCCCTCAGAGATCGTGTTCGCTACAGGTCTGATGACAGGAATCATCTGCTCTGCGTTGTTTCTCCCAGCAGGTGAAAGCAAAACGAGCAGCATGACAACCATCACACGTCTCACTTCGTATTGTTTCCCCAAACTTGGAGCGCATGCGCATTCTTCACCAGCTTTAAATGCAAGCAGACTTCTTCTTACAGTGTTTCCCATTATGCTCACCGTGGGAATCATTTGGAGTGTTTCATTGATCAGGTGTCAAACATCAGAGTTTAGTCAGTTGATCTAAATCAGCCTATTCTCAGACAGAGAACAACCCAACGTCTAGGAAGTTTGAGTAGCAAATTAAGAGCCCTAAACTAAAATATGACTGTTTATGCGTTGGTATGTGATTTAATAGTGTTGGAAACTCTAAAAGAAACAGTTTAACTCTTTTTTGTGGAAAGTCTAGGAAAAATAACATCTCACTGACTGCATTGATGAAAATCTGAATTATCACCTTAATTACATTTAAAGGTGACCTAATATGGGGGTCCTAGAACAATTTAGGATCCATCTGGGGGCTCTACAAAACATGTTCATTTGATTTAATTCACAAAATTAATCCCAGATAATGAAAATTCATCTTTTCAGTTCTGCCTGTTCTTCAGCTCTCTTCAGAATCTGCTGCTTTGCATAAGTTTAGATGGAAACCCTCTCCCAACCTTTTGTTCACGTTAGCTCCACCCTGCGCCAGAGGTGTCCTTTCAGTTTCCTTTCAGTTGAAAGTACTCTTTTCCCAAAGTAGTCGATGGTGAAATTATTTACACAAACTGCAACTTTCTTTGTTAATAGTGCTAGAACATTGCCATCAAAAATAAATAAAATGAAGCCACATCTCTGTTTTCCATGACTGTTCTAAAACAGCAGAACCGTCCTGTGAAGAAGTGGACGGAGTCTCTGCTTGGGTTATCAGGAGACGGGCTGGGCTCAGGTTGGGGTGAGCCGGAGTGCAACTTGTGACATCACAAGTAGCGGTGTTTGAAAACAGGTCATTTCAAGGCACAGAAAAATACATGTACTTATAGTAAAAATACCTCTGAGTGCATTTTTTTTTGGTGATTGGACTATTTTTAGAAGCAGTAAAGACCCAAATGTAAATTAAACAAAAGCAAATTTTGCCTATTTGGTCCCCTTTAAAATGTAGTTTTCTCTGTGGTTGGCTTGGTTAATCACGAGGCTTGTTGACCCATCACATGATAGTAAGGGTAGATCTGAAATAGATGTCTTCTGGATGAATTCTTCTTTTTTGAAAAATGATTTTTTCTCTTCTCCAAGAGACTTCTTCAGTAAGAGGATTTACAAGTAAGCTCAGCGTTATAACATGGTGAACCAATAGGTTAACAGCAATCAAAAACAGCACGGTCGTTGACATGCAAATGAGGACCATCAGCCTAATGATCGTCAGGGTTCTGATTATGACTTATTGTTCACAGAGGGTTGAGTCCTACTTGCGATAACAGCATTGTAGGGGGGGGGCAACTGGACTCGGTGGCCTCCACCCCTGTTTAATGACGAATGGTTTCTCTTCACAAAAATGACTTCTTTACTCCTCTCTCAAACCAACATTTCTCTCTGTCAATGATGAGAACATCTTTGAGGCCCTGCTCATCTTTTTTTTTTTTTACCAGGATTATTGAGATGCACCAGGACAGTCAGAGTAGATCTGGTTCACTTTTACTGTCTGGTCACATGTCATCTCATTTTAAGGAATAAAAGTTTTTTTTTCACTTCATAGTAAAGTCAGTTTGGTTGAAACATTAAAATGTTCATAATCCCTCTCTGCACCAGAAACCCAGAGCCGGCTCTTGGCATAGGCGAACTAGGCGGTCACCTAGAGCACCAGCTGCTGGAGGGGGTGCTGAACTGCAGAAGAAAAAAAAGTAATTATTTGTAATCCCTTGTTGTAACTCTGCTCAGCACCCTTTTCAATTAGCATTGTCCTAAAAGCTATAATGAAGTAAGACTTGAAAAAAATCTGTGAGATTGCTCTATACGTCCGTATACCTGAAAAATGATGTAAAATCCTTATAACTTACGGACAATCTGTACAAGTTGACATGTATGTTGTTGTTTATTTGCTTTCTGGGGA